ATATACTATACATATATATATATATATATATATATATATATATATATATATATATATATAATATATATATATATATATATATATATATATATATACATATATATATATATATATACATATATACACACATATATATATATACACACATATATATATATATATATACATACACTAGAAGATTAGTCATGAAACGACAACACAACGAGCACACAGTGTGGTACATACGTTGGTCGGCTGTTCAATGAAGAAAGATATGCCCACACTCAACAGAGCCCTATCTTTGACGGTGTTGCGCAGGTGTGTGTACCGATCGCCAATGTCTTTGAGCTTGAGCTGGGCTGTGTCACCTAGGCCTGACATTTCGGTGTCAACGGCTGTGAAGGTGGCGGTGCGGAGGTGCTGTAGCATCTCCGCACACAGCTGCAAACGGACCGAAAAAGAGATCTATATTGAATTATACCGTTTTTATTGTGCAGTTTTTAATCTTTTCTATCTTAGACTGTAGGTGAAGCAAACCCCACGGATTCGCTGAATCAGATCATTTCGATGTAGTACATTCGTAGCAAGTAATTGGGGGGGGATTGCGGATATGCCGAGGTGTAAAGCTAAGTGCAGCTAGCGGGCATACATCTAACTACACCGATCCTGACATGCATCTAACTGGACGGAAGACATGTCTTGAAAAGCTGCAAAAGCATACAGAGGTGTAAAGCGCACAGAAGTAAAAGTAGACTGACACAATAGGTTAGATGACACTGCAGTGGCTACCCGAAGTATATGCCATGCATAGGCAGATCTGCCAAATATACAATACACGGTTTAGCTACGAATAAGCCCTAACATATATAAAAATATACATAGAAGCAAACACTGGCCATCCAAATATACACAACAGGACTTCGCTACGAACAAACCGTAACCGATATGAAAACTATACATAAATGCATACACTGTTCTGCCAAATATAAAATACAGGATTTAGCTACGAATAACTCCTAACATATATAAAAATATACATAGAAGCATACACTGGCCATCCAAATATACACAACTGGACTTAGCTAAGAATAGTCAAAAAATAGACGGGTACACACATATGCATGCCCATGCACAGTTCAGTTGTGTCGACTAAAGAAACACGTCCATCAAGGGTACAAGGTATATGTATATACACCTACGTAGGTCTAACACGGACTGCTGAATTTGGGATTGATATCCATATATCGAAATGGGACGCTGTCATGGCATTCTTCACACCACTTCGGAGGAATGATTACACCAACATGGCGATAATGCGTACAAGCATGGCGATACCTTCCGTTCAAATTGGGGTCATACCTGCTGAAAATTATCTCGTGTGACATCCTTTACGATGCCGCCAGCGGTCTTGTGGACCTGGAAGGGCCTTTTCATGGTAGTAGCCTGAGAAGGCAGATACTGTCCCCTGTTGGCACGCTCAGGTTTTCCAAGGGCTGTCCTATTGTGAAGGATTAGGGCCGTTGAGAATATATCAATAAATAACGGGTGATTGTAGAGCAATCACTGAAACCGATGCGGGGGTTTGAAGTATCTTTTAGAATGGCACGTTGCAACATACATTACTATAGAGATGAGCGTACTGTGTACACAAATAGTCAAAAATCGCAGGCACGGTGGGAAGGTACAGATGAACTGATACAGTGACACTACTAGACTCTACTATAGAGCCACTATATTCATGTTTATTTATATTTGATTCCACGCGATTAATTGTAGGGTTAAAATAGCTCGGAAGATTTAAGGTTTTACCAAAATTGCCAATATGAAACACGGGAGTGTTTTCAACCCGAATTTGACTACAAATTTGGTTATATTTACCAAATACGATTCCTTGCGATTCTCAATCCATTCATACGCTCTAAATAATATACGGACGGATGAATATGCACATAAACGCAAATCGGTATATTATAGATCTGGTACAATGCATGTTAAATGTCATCAGAAGGTGATGTTCACATTATGTCTGTGTATTGTTGTCATTAGATTCTACAAGGCACGCTGCAAGATCGCAGGATAGGTAAAGAAAGTTATACTGGAATATGCAGAAGTAACTTTGTACATATATAGTTACTATCCCTTGGGCAAATGACGCAAGCCATTCAGTTGTCCTCAATCAAATATATATGCGGGTCCTTCAACTAAAATCGAGCACGCTGCGATTCGTCGGCTCGTTAGATTGTGGTTAAACATTGTGGAGTATGTATGTAGTATTCATAAATGTGTAGAATCATAGCCTTGGATTTTTTAGGGGGATATTATTTTATGGTGCACCGTAGAACCTTAGAATCTCTCGAGGGTCATAATTTTTTTCGGGATTAAACTAAAAATATCTCTATGCTGAAATATGTCAAAAAAATATTCCCGAATTAAAATTCAACCCGATATAGGCAAGCTGAAAATGCCACAGACCTCAGAGCTACAGAGGACCTAAACAAGTACAAAGTGTTCTGGTGGCCATATTAGTAGGCGATGCGCACATTATAGCGCCAAGAACACACGACATATAAGTCACATATAGCTGTTCAATTGTCATTCACTAAGTGGTTTACGGCTGTGAGCAATAGGGCTACCTGCAAGGTGAACATACCAACACCCTTTTGGTGAACAACCCGAATCTATATATCTGAAATTGACAAAGAATCGTATACCAGTGAAGTGGTCGGAGGTCGCATACTTTAGAAGATACACTTGGACAAAAGGGTTGCGCTAGGCTATATTCACCATGTGGTCACTTTCCGAAGTTACCGACAACCTGAAAAGGCTAGTCGGTCGATCGGACTTTGCCCCTGAATCGGTATGTCACGTCTCAAAGATGCTACACACAAATATCTCGCCATCCAGAAGCGAGTTGCTTTAGTGAATTGGTCACACATGATGAGCTATCCCTGTTTCACGTAACCATGTATATGTGAGTGTCTTCATGGTGTCAGTGTTAATTCAAACTGTTTTTATAATACACCACACATATAAAGGCATGTTCGTATATTCGTATATTCGAACTAATGACCCAAAGATTTGAGTTGTTTCCATATTCCTCTTTTTTTAAACGCACAATAGTTCAGTGTTATCAATTACGAATACATGAATCACTATACTTCTATATATA